AAATTTAATATTATATTTTAAATCAGTAGGGAAAAGATGAATCATTTAATAAATATAATTGGGACAAATGACTAATCATTTGGAAAAATAAAGTTATAGCCTAGTTTCATACTTTCATATATCCCAAACAGATTAACTATTTTTGATACAAAAAGGAAAACATAAAATATCTATATCATCTTGGGGTGACAAAGGCCTTTCTAAAATGACCAAAGGAAAAACCAATAAAGGAAAAGATTAAAAAATTTCATTTATATAAAGCATTTTAAACATCTATATATAAAATAACTCTATCAGCACCATAAACAAGGCAAACAACAAACTATAAGTATTTGTTATACACACAATGCACAAATATGAACATGAGTAGGCAAAACCCAAAGATAAAATATAAATGACCAATAACACATGAAATAGGTATGCAATTTTACTACTAATAAAAAAACAAGGTAAAACATAAATAAGATATTGCTCAATGCTTTTATATGTAAAAACAGCAAAAAAGAATGATGGTACCCAAAATGAGCAAGACGTAAGAAAACTTACATAGTATACAAATCAGTAAAACATCCCTAGGGAAAAATTTAATTTATATCCATTAAAATTATGCCTATTCTTTGACTCAACATACATTTTCTGACTCAAAAAAGAAAGCCTGAACTCCAGAATTCTCTGGACATTTTACATTCTACGAGTGCTCAGTGCATACAATTCTTCTTGATTCTTAAGCACTGTGTGGACAACACAGGGTTTTTGTGTTTAAGCCTGACCTGGAGCTACTTTCTCAAAAAGATAGTGAAGCACATTAGGAAGAAAGAATAGATTTTTTCTCTAATAGATCTAGATTTCAATACTGGCTCTGCCATTTTACTGTGTGACTTTCTATATGTTACTTAACCTTTCAAAGTCTCTATTTCCTTGTTTGTAAATGGGAGAATACAAGAGTACTTGCTTCAGAGAATGGCTCTGGAGATTAATTCATATAATTCATGCAATGTCTGGAGCCTATAGTTTCTGGTTTTTTAACACACCTCTCCAAGATTAAAACAAAGAAGAAAGAAAGAAAAGAAAAGAAAATCTTCTGAAGACCAGTATTTGCCCTCCTCAAAGATATTGTAAGACTAAATCCACCTTCTTTTGATCAGCTTTTACCCAAACAGTAAGACTTTTTACAATGAATGCTTTGTGGGACTCATCAAGGTACTCTTCAATATGGGTCTATTGTAGCCCACAATGCCAGCCTGACCAACCATACCCTACTGAAGCAGCATGCTTTGTACTTCCCTGCCCATGACCCTGTCTGCACTCAATTCCATGATGCCATCTGAACTCTTGCTCTATGACCAATACCACTTTTAATCTTCCACTTCTGAGTGGTTCCTCCACCTCCTTTTCTCAACCAAAACCTGTGTCTCCCCTGAGAGATCTGCTTCCCTGGCGTACTCTCAAATGGATTTTTTTTTTTAAAAAAAGAATTTTCATCACTTTTCTGCATCCTCACTTCTGATCATTCTCTCTCTCTCTCTCTCTCTCTCTCTCTCATTACCTAACCTTTTCCTCATGGTAGATTCATTCCATCAGCTTAAAAATGTGCTCAAGTCACTTCTGTGATATATAACAACACAACAGCAATAAAACACCAACATCTCTCCACTCAATATTCCCCTATACCACGACCCTTTTTTCTTTTCCTTCACAAACACACTTTTTAAAAGAGTTGTGTGATTTTTACTTCCCACCAACTGTTGTACTCTTGTTTGGCTTTCACTCTTACTGTTCTACTGAAACAGTGCTTACTGATCTGCAGGAACACTTTTATACACAGGAAATTAGCTCTTTGTATGAGTTTCAAGAAAGTTTTCTCAGTTGGTCATATTTTCTTTTGATTTTGCTTATGATGATACTTGATTTGTGGATTTAAAAAGAATTGTGTCTTCAATTTTTCTAATCTCTTGTATGCGGCTACTGGGTTTGTGGCATTCTTAGAAAGTTCACTTCTTTGAGACTAAAATAAACTATGCTTTGGTAATGTCTGGCTTATAACATTTTATGTTTGAGGGAATTTTATATATTGTCATTTCAAATTACAAATTACACATGTAATTTTGGTTTGTTTGTTGTTGTTTTTTTTGATGACGAAGAAGAGATTGGGAAAATGGTTAATGGGTATGGTCTGCCCATTTGGTTCTACAGAATTCCTACAAGTTAAATTAGGCATCTACTTTTTTCGTAATTTTTATTGTGAATCTTTTTACATCTCTGAATGTAAAAAAAAATTATACCTTTGTGCAAATACTCGAATAAATAAAGAATTGAAATAGATGCCAAAAGAAGTTCAAAAAGTAGTAAAACTCATGGGGCTTTATAGTAGTATACTTTGTAATGGATATAATTGCGTAGTAATCTCCAGATTAGTAATCTAGAGAAAGAAAGAGACCCAGGACATGCTGCTCAGGATAAGTGAGAAAAATCTTTATCAAATAAGGCCCCCATGTGGCTGTTTAATGCCATGCTGTACATGCATGCAAAAAACATTAAAAAATACATGCTTGCTTTGTGGCAAAATCTTAGTAAGCAAGTACTAAACATGTCAATTGAATCCTCCTGAAAGTAGTGTTTGAAAAATAACATTATTACCTAATTAATCATTTAAGATAGAGTTTTACTAAATTTTCAGTCAGAGTTCACAGTACATATATTATGAAAATATACTGGAGGCTAGAAAGCCAATTTTTGAGAATAACATCTTCCCTTGTTCTCACAGGACCTTTCACTTCTGTCTTCTTGATAAATGTTTCCGAGTAATATGTATTCTCTCCCTCCCTCAGAACATATCAAACATGAGTGTCTAGGAATTTTCTTGATATCTAATGGCTTTCCATTCTTTTCTGTGGTTAAACAATAGCAATGTCAATTTGAGTAGTATTTGTCATTGCCAGTGCAAATATTTTGCTCCGACCGCCTGCAAAGCCTGTGTATCTATATCCTTATGGCTTCTTCTGAATTAATACTATTGGACTAGCAAGAAGACACGATTTAAGTTGTAGCTCCCAGAGGGGGAAGCCTCCTTCCAAGCTCTATGTCCTAGTAGAGCAGTCAAGAAATATTCAGGAACAAGCGTGCTGACTAGCCATAAACACCCACATATGGAAAAGTCTGCTGCTTTTATTAATATGAAAGATAAAGTTTAAAGTCTAATTATTTTCTTATAATTTTAATGTATGCATATTATAGTAACTTAGTTAAGACATCTTTTTCCACCACTTAGATTTTTTATTCTACTGTGATTAGAGTTGGTAGCTGAAAGGGATGAGCCTTTGCCCTGATTTTTTTTTTTTTTTTTTTTTTTGAGACAGAGTCTCTCTCTGTTGCCTGGGCTACTAGACCTGAGTGCTTGGCGTCAACCTAGCTCGCAGCAATCTCAAACTCCTGGGCTAAAGCAAACTTCCTGCATAAGCCTCCTGAGTAGCTGGGACTACAGGTTAGTGCCACTACACCCGGCTAATTTTTCTATTTTTTTGTAGAAATGGGGTCTCACTCTTGCTCAGGCTGGTCTCAAACTCCTGACCTCAAGCAATCCTCCCGCCTGGGACTCCCAGAGTGCTAGGATTACAGCCTGAGCCACTGCACCAGGCCTGCCCTGATGATTTTAAAGAGATTTTTAAATTTTAAAAACCTCAGAAATTACCAACCCACAGCTTTATTATACAAAACTCTTTTAAAAGCCTCCAAAACAGAGTAACAGTACTTCCTGCATTACTGTGCCCAATATGTAAGTACAGAGATATCTACAAACTATACATTGTGTAACATTCTTTGATAGAAACTTCAAAACCAGAGGTGGAGGTTAGATGGATTTTGGAGCCATTCCAACTGTGAAACTCAGTAAAAATAATGCCAAACGTGACTTCAAATTAAATTCAAGGGACATTTATTGAGAACCTGTTCTATGCACAGCACTGTGTTAGGTCCCACAGGGATAGCAGTCATTAAGGATTTCACTAGAAAATCTGGGCATATTGAAGCAAGGGGAGGTAAACAGCAGGCTTAGGTGAGCGCCAGAGGTCGTGGGCCCCAGCGGGGACCCTCTCGCAGGTGAGGCCCGAGGCGGGGCGGAGCAGCTCTGCAGAGCCCGCGCTCCGGAACACCGGCATGGGGCGGCGCTCCAGGCCTTGCTGAGGCAGCAGCCCGCGGGGCCGAAGCCTAATGGGCCCTAGGCTCGCCGCCTGTCTCGCCACACAGCCCATTCCACTGCCCCGGACGCTAGAAGGCGGCACACTCGCACCGCGCTCGTCCTTACGCGGTCAGTCCCGGTTGCAGGCAGTGCCGGAGGCTAAGGTGGAGGGTCAAGAAATGCCGCCACCAGACGCCCCGAGAAGGATATTCTACTGGCAGTTTCTGCCTGCAGGCCATTGTGCAGCTGCTTATCAGGCCCTGAGAAGGCGTCAGACAAAAGGAAGCCCCCCTCCCTTCTCGGTAGTCTGGCCGGGGTCGGGTGCGGGCGCTGGCGCGGCCGCATTCTCCTCAGGGAAGCTAACGGAAGCCACCGGGCTGGGGATCGGCCGTTAAAGCCTGGCTGCAGGCAAGTGTTGGTAATCGGCTCCGGACACTGCCGGGCCCCGCATCCCACAATCCCTGCGTGGCGACTGGCTCCCACACGCCGGCGGCGAGAACGAGCCCGGCGTCTTGACAGCTGCCCACGCGACGGGGCGGCGCTCGAGCGCGCCGCTTTAAAAGGTCCGCGCGGCCGGCCCCGCCTCTCGCGCGCTGCAATTGGTTCCAGCCGGCGCAGCCTTGATCCGATAGGCGCAGGGAGGGCGGCGCGGCGCGGGCGAGGCCCCGGGCCTCAGCGCGGCGGCCCCGAGTGGGGCGCGGGTCGCCGCCTAGTGTGAGCGGTTGGGTGTGCGGGGTCCCGCCGGCTTGCGCGCGCGCCGGCTGTCAAGGTCCCCAGGGAAGTAGGCGAGCGCCCGACGCCGATCCGCACGCGCCGCCCGCCGGTCGGCGGCGCGCGGCAGGGCAGAGGTGGTGCGTGCGTGTGTGTGCGCGCGGGCGCGTGCGTGTGTGGCGCTGGGGTGCGGAGGAGAGCCGTCAGCCCCGGGGCGCTAGTGCCCCGCTGTCTTGCACGCCCTCCCTTCCTCCCCGCTCCTTCCCTACATCCTTCCCGTGCCTCCACTGTCGCGTACCCAGCGAGAGCCCAGGCAAGCAGGTGTTGTTGGGGGCGGGGGGCCGTGCGGGGTCGCACGAGACAAAGGGGGCGCGGGGGTCAGCCCGCCATGGCCTCCCGGAGCCTGGGGGGCCTGAGCGGGGGTCGCGGCGGTGGCGGCGGCGGCGGCAAGAAGAGCCTGAGCGCCCGCAATGCTGCGGTGGAGAGGAGGAACCTGATCACCGTGTGCAGGTACGGCGGCCCAGGGCGAGGGGAGGGGGCCGCGGCGCCGCGGGCTGAGAGCTCTGGGCGTGTGCGCGGGTCCCTGGGGGTCCCAGGGACTACGGGGTGCCCCCCGCCTCGGCCACACTGGGCGTGTCTGCGGGCGCCCAGTGCCCTGGAGGGGCGCCCGGGGCTGGGCATCGCTGAGGCCCTGGACTTACCATCCGTTCCAGTGCTGTAGGCACCGGAGTAGGGCTTGGGGCGGGGCTGGGGGAGGATTTGTTTTGAATGTATAGTCTAATGTCAGAGTAAAATAGGAGGGCCGGGAGGAAGAACTCATTCATTTAGTGCATATTAAGCTGTCAGCCAGCTTTTGGTAAAGTAGTCATTACTGTGATTGTTTACTGTGTTGCCCCCAAATCAGAGTGCATTTCGTTATTTTGGCTTGTTTACATATATCTGCACACATTTTATTCCACAAATATTGAGTCCCTACTACACGCCAGCCTGTGTGTGTGTGTGTGTATGTGTGTATACTATCCACTTCTAAACTACAGTGCTAGTGCTGTTTCTGCAGTTACTGAGTGGAACTGTGGAGGAAACCTGGTTTTCGTGTCAATGATTTATTTATTCTAAGGTCTGCCTCTCCTTAAATGTTTTCTAACTAATAAATGTAGTATTCTCTTACTTTATAAAACATAGAAGCAGTAAAGGAATAATTGCTATGTATAATAAGCCTAGTGTTCAGGCATAACTTTTTTTTTTAATATACTGATATATTTTCTTAAGTCTTATACCTAGGTATTAAGAAAAATTGAAACCCTAGGCATCCATTTCTTAGGAACTTCTCTGAAGCATTCAGATGTTTTAAAATTACTGTTCCATCAAACCCGGGGAATCCTTAGCTGGCGATAATCTTGTAAGAATTAGAGGATTATGAAACCTTTTCTTCCTTTGCAATTTATATCTGTATATTTTTTTTCTTCTGGTTTCCCTTGTGTAAAAATATGTGTAGCATCTTCAGTGGAATACAGATATTTATATTAGGAATTATATTCATTAACTTTAAGTGACTTTTTGTTTTTTAACTTGGATTATTACAAATGTTCGTGTCTCTAGCAGGCAGACCTGCATCATTGACACTTATGACACTCTGAGTTTTAAATAGTAAGGTAATATGAAATCTTAATTTACCATTTGTGCTGTCTAGGATATAACTTTTTGTGGGAATTAGGCTTTATGAAATTTGTTTAAATTTAGGCAATTTTTAAAGTTAGGTAAATAGAACAATAAAGCTGATTTTCTTAACTGTAATTTCCAGATATTAAAAATAATTACATTTTTAAAAAAATATGAGGATAGTTCCAACATACACAGTGATTTTTGAGATAAAGTGTTTCACAAAGCTCCATCAGAGTTAAACTCTACAAGGACAGTGATCTTGTCTGCTTTTTGCTTGTTTTTTTCAGATTCTTTGCAGTATAGCATCTGACACTCAATAAATATTTATTAAGTGAATAAATTCAGTTGTGGGTACTATTCCTTTTGTTTCTTTGTTTTTGTCTTGGCTGGTTTTAGATCATGAACTGTTCATTTGTGCCCTACCATAGACAGTTGAGGAGAAGAAAGTGTTTGTATTTCAACTTTATTTAAATTTTTAACTATCTTGAAGAAATTTGAGTAACAATACACTGATTTGCATAGACAGTTACCTGGGCTAGTTGTATTTTCATTATTTTTATTTGTATTATTATTTCCTATTGCAAAATGAATATATTCTGACTTTTGTTACAGTTTATACATAGATTTAATTTAGTAGCTAAAATAACTTCCAATTTCTGGCTTAGATTTCAATTTTCATAGTTATCATGTGGATAATATTAAGGCTGTTTTCACATCCAGATTATTGATGGCATATATAAATTATCCATGTCTAGTAATGGGGTCTAACTATATGCCATTTGTACTTTTAAGTAGCCCCACCATGAACTCAGGAAAATGAATGAATCACTATTTATGCATTTATGCTACTTTTTAGGGTCACCAAACCCTGAGTATCTCGCCCATGTGTCTTATGAATTAATTTTTTAATTTTTATATCTCAAATCAGAGATAATTTGATATTTAAGTTAGGAAGAAGTTGGTTTAGTAGAAATATAAATAGATTTCAAGTTGGCTTTGTCATTTAACTAGTGTGCCCTTTAGCAAGCCATGCAACCTTCTCACTTTCAGTTTTATCTGTAAAATAATGTGGACCAGGTCTTCAATGATAGCCCTAAAATAAATAATGGTCTTCAAGAAAAATGTGTTCATATTTGGTTTTGAATTTTTCCAAATAGGAGCAGGGTAGTAGTGGTAGATATATGTTTATAGTAGGGAAATGTGGCATGTGCATTTTTCTCTGTAAACAAAAAACATTTTGAACTGTGCCTTCCATTTTGTAATTCTCTACTGATATTCTGGAAAAATCAGTTTACAAAACTAAAACCAAAACAAAAGCTCACCACCATATATCATTCTAGTGTATCTATTAATACTAATACTTAAACAGTAATTCTTTTCCTTATCCCTTAAACAATTTAGGCATATTCTCAGTATAGGTTTAAAGCCTTATATAAGAATACAATTCTTCAGGTTTAAAGCTTTCTACAAGTACAGTATTGTTACTGTTTTGAACTTTGGAATTGGGCTGTTTGGTTATGTAGAACAGTCAGGAAAAGAGCTGAATTGAATCTTGGTTCATTGTGATTGTGTATGTGTATGTAATTATTTCATCAGTTTTTTTTTCCCCAGTGAACACTTAAATATTGTAGACTAAAAATATTTGCATGGTATTTATTATAGCAAATAAGTCCTGTTTATCATATTTTCCACAGATCGTGGTAAAGAGAAAGTAGGTCATCTGAGGACTCTAAATCTTCCACATTCAACTCCAAAATATTCATACAATGACTTTGGATTTGAACACCAACTAGTATTTTCCCTGCACATTCTCTATCATTTAGAACTTCAAAAAGTTAAATTGTTAAAGTTCTTCAGATTTTTTTTAACTTGCGTTTTTTGTCCATAGAAAATCAAGTATCAATAATTTTTCTTGTCCTTTTTAGGCTTCACAGTTTGTATTCCTTTGATTTTAGTTCTGTTGGCAGAGAATTAAATTCTAGATTCTCTTTCTGTAGATTAACCATATCTTATGAGAAAATTGTTAAAATATATATGTTAAATATATATGCATAAATATTTTAATATAACATTTGTTAAACTTTTAAATTGATACTTTAAAAGAAACTCCCTACAAAAAGTTATAATTTTTCAGTTTTGTTAGTAGAAAGGACTAACAATGGAGATTTAAGGAGATGGTGTGATAAGTTAAGTGGTCTGGAGACAAATGATTTTGGAATTAAAGTACTTATAAAAATATGTATGTTGTCTTAGTTTTTTTATAGGTCAAGATATTATTTCAGAAGTTGAATATTATTTCAAATTACATTCACACCCCATTTTTCTAGTGTATTCAGGGATCAAAGAGCTCATTTTTTCTATGTAACTAATGTTTGAGTTAAGCTTAAAATTGTTCCATCCACTGTAATTTACTCAGCATTTATTGTGGAGTGCAATCTCCTATGTAATTGAAGCTTATGATTTAAGTGCTCAAATTTAAACCACAATAAATAATATCTAAAACATTTTAGATGAGTTGCTTTTAAAAAAATAATACATGTTTCCCTACCTTATTTAAAAGACTGTACATAGCATAACAATCCTTACTGATGACTTTATTCTGGATCTACTTCTATGAATATGCCTGCTGTGCAATGGCTGCCCTTGGAGAGTTTTGAGATACATATAGCATTTTGCTCAATGGCCCCAGAAGATTATGTGTTTGGAGTTCTTTGTCTACTTTTGCATTCTGCTGTTTTTTCCTACCAAGTTAGCTGTTATTTCTTACACTTTTTCTAGCAGTTCTTTTCTTTGCACTTCCCATTCTGACTTGCTAATTATAGTTGGTTGTGAATTATGAAAGCAGATAACTTACTGTGTGTTATCTGAGTTCATTCACTTAACTCAGAGGCCTGAGTTAAGTGAATGGACTTTAGTAGTCTGAACTTCTTAATATTCTGGTTGCTGAATAATCAGGAAAAAAGGCCTATACATGAAATGCAGATATGTGAAATGTAATTGAATATTATTGGCAGTATAAAATGTCTTAGTCTGTTTTGTGTTGCTATAAAGGAATACCTGATTCTGGGTAATTTATAAACAAAGACATTTATGTAGCTCACAGTTCTGAAGGCTGTACAAGAAGCATGAAGCTTCCATCTGCTGGGCTTCTGGTGAGGGCTTTTGTGCTACATCAAAACATGGTGGAGAAGATCAAACGGGAAGCAGGCTTATGCAAAGAGGGACTAAACCTGAAGAGGTGTCTTGGCTTTATAACAACCTACTTTCCAGGAAACTAATTCACTGTCCCTGTCTCACTACACTGAGAACTCACTCGCTGCCTAAGAATGGCACCAAGCCATCCATGAGGGATCTGCCCCATTTACCCAGACACCTCCCACAAGGCCCCACCTCCCAACCCTGACACATCGGGGATCAAATTTCAACATGATTTTTGGTGGGAACAAACAAACTATATCCAAACTATACTATGATCCTTTAAGTAACTTTAAATTCAGTGACTCACTTTTCTTGTTATTATTTGCTTGAGTATGCTTCTTAAGTCTGTTTATACTTTGGCTGTTGTGATTATAATATTTTTGGGTAAAGCTCTTTTAGTCATTCTATGTGTAATAGAACTTTGTGTTGAGATTTTGATCAGCATTAGTTATATGTTAATAGTTTTGGAGCAAGTTCAGTATCATTTCTAAGAATTCTCCGTGCCCTATTAGTAAGTGCTCACAATGGAGGTAATATGATCTTTTCAGCTGTTAGTCCTAGGTAGACTTTTCAGCATTCACAAAAGCTGAACTGGGTTCATATTAATTGACAACAGAGCATATCTGTCATCTAGGCATTTACTAGGGGAT